TTAAATTAATTGTTTATCTTGAAACGGGTGTTTGTTTAGCTGTTAGAGAAAAAGGAAAAACTAATCATGTGTCGATTAGAATAGAGTTTATTTTTAAGTGTATTGGTGTGTGACTTAACCCTTGTCTGACGTGGCCTTCAATCTTGTTTATAATTTGCTATCTTATTGCCACAAAAAGTTTATTTCATTTTTTTTTTTTTTTTTTTGGAGACGGAGTCTCACTCTGTTGCCAGGCCCAGTAGTGCCCTCTCAGCTCACTTCAACCTCTACCTCCGAGGCTCAAGCAATTATCCTGCTTCAGCCTCCTGATAGCTGGGATTACAGGCACCCACCACCACACCTGGCTAATACAAGGAGTTCATTTCATCAGTCTTAAGATTTCTGCTTTAACATTAATGCTGTTCAGTTATTGTGTCTAAACTACAAAATGGAGGAAGTATGATGAGGTGTATCTAACTTCCCATCCTGTAACCTCCCTATATTTGAATCCTTTGAAATTTGCAATAATCACATGTCAATGTGTCTATTTAGAAACAGAAATAAATTGTGTTCCATGCCAAGCATCTTTTGGGAACCTACAAATCTAATCAACTCTATAAATCTAATGAAAAATTTGGGCAAATATGCCAGTCCTTATATTCAGTAAAAAGAAAAAGAGAAAAAAGAAAAATTTGTGCCAATAAATGGCTCATAAATTGAGAAATATACCAAGAAAGTATAGAAATAAGAGCAAATGTTTATTTTAAACTCATTACAGGGTATTTTTGGACATATACAGATGTGAAGTACTAACAAACATGTAAGCCAATTCAAGAAATGAAAGATTACAAATGAAGGTGAAGTCATCTATATTCCCAACTCTTCACATCTTCTTCCAAACCTCTTAAAGATAACCACCACTTGGAATTTGATTTTTACCATGTCCTTACATTTCTTTATTTTTACTACATTAGAATTTTTATTGATATAATTTTCCATGTTTTTAGCATCTGTATATATTTTATACTTTATGTATTCATCTGCAATGCGCACATTTATACTTGAAGAAACTTTCATAGATTGAACCACAGTGGATTACTTTTTTCTCGATTTTTTTTACCTAGGTGCTATCAGGATTAAATTTATTTTTTATTGTATTATATACTGTATTTTGTTTCTCTTCAAGTATGACAACCAAATGAATAAATTTCTTTTTCTTTTTTCTTTTTTTTTTTTCCTTCTGAGATGGAGTCTTGCTCTGTTGCCCAGGCTGGAGTGCAGTGGCACAATCTCAGCTCATTGCAACCTCTGCCTCCCAAGTTCAAGCAATTCTTCTGCCTCAGAAGCCCCCTAATAGCTAGGATTACAGGTACACATCACCCTGCCTGGCTAATTTTTGTATTTTTAGTAGAGATGGGTTTTCACTATGTTGGCCAGGCTGGTCTCAAACTCCTGAACTCAGCTGATCCCCCCTCCTCAGCCTCCCAAAGTGCTGGGATCATAGACGTGAGCCCCTGGGCCCAGCTCTTTTTCTTTCCTTCTTTCTTTCTTTTTTTTTCCTTTTTTTTTTTTTTTTTTAATTGTTGTTGTCAGACAAGGTCTTGCTCTATCACCCAGGCTGTAGTTCAGTGACATAATCTTGGCTCACTGCAGCCTTGGACCTCCCAGGCTAAAGGACTAAATTTCTAAAACTCAGAAAAATTAAGAAACATGTCCTCTTATAGTTAAAATAATTTTTATCAGGATTCTTTTGATGCAATAGAAAGCTATGTGGTGAGCAGGGGGAAATAATCTTATTTAAAATGGCACAGGTAAATCTGGAAACTCTATTATCATAATTAATCTACATCAAAATGCAGATAATTGGGTAGGAAGATGAAACAAAACTAGAAATGTTCCTCAGCATTACGTTGCTGTCATATATGGAGCTAACACAAGTGGAAAGACACCATTCTTTTAGTCCCGTAAAAGAAAACAAAGCAGCTCACCAGCAAGAAGACAACATGAGTGGCTTCTGCTTCAGGAAAAGACTATGGAGAGAGACCGAAACTGTGAATCTGAAAAACTGTCTTGTGATGCCTTAAGAAAATAGTCACCATGTAGAAACTAGTCCAAACCGTGAGGAACAAAAAGAGGAACCTTGAGTAAACACGGCACTTACAAATATCATTGCACGGTAGTGTACAAACTGCCTTGTTTTACGGTTTACAGAGAATATACAAGTCCAACATTAGTGGATTTGCTGGTGGCTACAGTGCTTATAACGACCCACATATTGATTAGCATCTTGTTTATTTAGGAATAAATCAATAAGAGAAAAATTTATGGGGAGATTTGAGGTTTCAGTGATACCCACTTGGAATGGCAAGGACTGATAGCAACAGCCTGAAATGTACTCATGAGAGAATAAGTACATGTGCAAATGCCCTGTGTCATTTTATAAATGTAGAGCCCTGTTTTGCAACCAGTATCAACAAAAGTGCTTCTAATTCCAAAGGATGATATTATATATGGAACACCTCTGAATGTAACTGTTACATTAGCCAAAGTCAGGTGCATGAGAATCGTATCTAAGGGCTTATTCTGATGGGGCTGAAATAAGACGATGTGCATATATGTAATGAATAGCAGTAAGTTCCCCATAAGCCCAATGCCAATTTGAAACACAAGTAAGATTCCCAGTGTTGTGTCACTTAAATACAAAATATTCATGGTTTTCTTGGATCTTTTGATTGAAGCCAGCACAGCCTAAACAGCAGCATAAATATATTCCACATATGAAAGTTTAGCGATCGCTGAATTCTCAGAAAGAATTTCAACTTCGACATGAAAATGATCATGAAAGAGGGACAAATACTCAACTGTTCATGAACGTGTTACACTTCTGTGGGATTTCCAGAGGCTGGATGCCATGTATTGTTCAAATATCTAGAGAGCAGATGACGTTTATGCAGCAGTTGGGCTTTGCCATTTTTAACATTTTTAACATCTGTTCTAGCCCATTTTTCAGGAGTGGTCTGTTCTATTTTAAAGACAATTTTGCATATAATAAAAAACAATTTTATCTCAAATTCTAGTATTGCATTTTAATCATAAACTTGTAACTTGAAATATTTTCTACTTTTTATATACGGGTAATATTTGTAACCTGTAAATAGCAATATATGAATATGAACCCACTTTTCAGAAGACTAATTTTAGCACACTGTTATTTTTTGAATAATAAAATGTATTTATAGGATATGATTAACTATTGATTAATTTATGCCATTAAAATGCTAATTTTGCTTGTTCTGAAGAACTTCCTTTGCTTGGGAAGCATATTTAATATTTTTACAAATATAGTAAAGGTTCAATTGAAGTTGACAAAGTGATCAAATGTAATAAGATATTAAATCAATTTACTTTCCAGTTAGCCAACAGGGTTGATGAAGTCTTTTTCATTTAGCAAATAAACAGTTCTTCTCCTGACAGTGAATTACCATCTAGTTGTTACATAACTTCCTATGTTTCTTTACAGCAAGGTATATTAAAAACTTGGTCTCCAGCTTGCCCTGCAGTATTCAGAATACTGTACACACGCACATATATCCTATTGATTCTGTTTCTCTGGAGACTTCTGACTTAGACACAAGGGAAGTAGAACTGCAACCTGCATGCCCAGGGCCAGATCCATGCTCCAAAAAGCCCTAAGAGGACCTCTTGCTTGTACCTCTGATTGATCTTTGGAGTCCATGCAAGCAGGAGATTATAGCTAAAACAGAGTTACAAGTGTCTTGGCTTAGAGATAAGGAATACATCAGCTCAAAGCCCATCTGCAAAGACCAGAGTGTTGGTTTTTTCCCTCCCACTAGGTGTTTATGAAAATCTTTGTCAAGGTAACAGTAATTAAAGCTGGGAGGCAGTGGTGGATCCCAAAGGGCTGTACGGCAAATGACTGGCACCCACCAAAGGCGTCAAGAGCTGCTGAAAAGGAGAAACGCGGCCTGGCGCAGTGGCTCACGCCTGTAATCTCGACACTTTGGGAGGCCAAGGCGGGTGGATCACGAGGTCGGGAGTTCAAGACCAGCCTGGTCAAGATGGTGAAACCCCGTCTCTACTAAAAATGCAAAAATTAGCCGGGTGTGGTGGGGCGTGCCTATAATCTCAGCTACTCAGGAGGCTGAGACAGGGAATTGCTTGAACCCGGGAGGCGGTGTTGCAGTGAGCTGAGATCGTGCCACTGCACTCAAGCCTGGGCGGTAGAGCGAGATTCCGTCTCGATAAAAGAAAAGGAGAAACGCTGGGATCCTCAATCAGCTGCCTTCCCGATTGCTAGCGCCACAAATGCCATCCGGATGGCGCAGATCCTCGGTCCAGGTCTCCAGTCCCTAACACCTGCGAAAGCCGCGCGCACTCACCCCACAGGGCGCGGATAGTGCTCCCTACTCAGACTTAGGGGATCCAGCGGGGGCCGACAGATCCACGCCAGGGCCCTGAGCCCCCTGAGCCCGCTGAGCCCCCTCAGCCCCCTCAGCCCGCTGAGCTCCCCTCGAGCCCCCCGAGCCTGCTGAGCGCCCTGAGCCGCCAGAGCCTGTTGAGCGCCCCCAAGACCCCCGAGCCCGAGTTCCCTGAGCCCCCTGAGCCCCCCGAGCCCCCTTTGCCCCCTGAGCCCCCCGAGTCCGCTGAGCCTCCTGAGCCTGCTCCTTCGAGGCCCTGGAAACTGCACTGGCTTGATTCCAGCTCTGCGCCACCCACTCGGTGAATCCGGACCGCAGGGTCCCAGGCAGGCGCTGCCCGCGCCAGGGACAAAGGGCCATGCCCTTCCTCTCAAGTTCCTCTCCCCGCACCGACTGCTGCGACTCGCTGTGGAGCAAGCAGAGGTCCGAGCGCCCCGCTGAGGTCTCCAAAGAGCAAAGCAAGTTACGAGGGCTGCCGAAGTCCCCCGTGCCCCCAGTTCCCGCGTGTGCGGGGCCTGGAGGGTGCCAAGCCCCCTGAGACCCTCGCGCATTCCTCTCGCGTGAATCCCAACCGTCAACCGAACACTGCACTCTTGGACTGGGTCACATTCTGCAGACGTCGGAAACCTCGGAGGCCAAAACCTGGCTGGCAGTCACTGACTGCGCCTCATCTCTCCCCATGGGCAGTCTCCTGGGCAAACTGGGGTTGTCGCCCTCGTCCCCGGCCCAGGTGCGCACCGACTTGCCCCAGAGGCACACGAAGCGCCGGCCAACTCAGCCCCTTCGCCAAGTCCATCGGGTTCAGTTTGTCCACCGCGCCCACCCTGCCCCGCGGTATAGACCTGCGAGGAGGCCGCGGAACCTGGATCCTGCCGATCCAAGCACGTGGCCGGTCAACGAGGCTTGGAGGCGCTTTCCCATGAAGAAGGCCCAGTATTCCACCCTGGGGCCTCTCCCTTCAGACTGGTGGGAAAGTTACTTAAAGCGCACCATTTGGTCTCTTCGACACCCCAGGCCAATATGGAGCCCAGTGACCATCAAGATCACTCCTCCTGACCAGAGGGCGCCTCCTTTCACTTCTCCGGAAGGTGTAATTGACCCTGCAGGTCCCCCACCCTCTGAGGAGCCCCCAGATCCATGTTCAAAGGAGACAGTGTTGAGGGCTCTCAGAGAGTGCAGAAAAGGGAAAGGGAGGTTGGAAGAACCACTATTCCCTGAGAGCGTGGACAGTAAGAGAAGGAGTCCAGAGACCAGACCATCCGCATTTAAGCCCCTGATGAAAAATGGAACCCTTACTTCTTTTGTGCCCAGGCCTGGGCCTCTGAAGAGAAGCCTCCACTCCTGGAGTTCAGATCACAGCCTGACTAAGAGACCCAGTTGCTCCTCTATGAGCTCCTTGTCCAGCATATACACAGGTGGCCCCCTCAGCTCCAAAAGAAATGCTATTTCCAGCTCTTACAGCTCTTCCAGACATTTATCAGAGCCTCGGAAGAGAAGTGTTCCCAGTGTACGGGTCCAGACACCAGAGTGGCCAATAAAAAGGAAAAAACCCGGTCGTCGCTCTCACCCTCCAGCCCCACTGGTATCAGATTTTGCATCCCCAGGAGAGTCTGGAAGTTCAGGGCAGCAAGATCCAAAGAGTCCACGGCTACTGTCTAGCCCTGAGAACATGCTCTCAGAGGTCCCACCTCCCAAGAGTGGTTATGCAGTCTCTGATGAGAACTTGGCCTTGAGGAAGAAAGCTGAGCTACAGTGGAGCAAGAAAGCAAAAGAAGACACAACTGACGTCACCACAGACCCTGTCCCTGAGACTTGGCTTGCTGTTGAGCCTTCCCTATCTCCCACTCTGCCTTCAGAAACAGATCTAACACAGGGGGCAAATCCTCAGTTGGAAAACTTAAGAAAAATGCAGAAGTCTCCAGGTCCACTGGCCTCCCCACAGTCCACGAGAGGGGCAAGCAGTGTGGCCCATTCTCCTTTGAAGACGCCCAGCCTACCGACCCCACCTGGGTGCACACAGTCAGAGCTCCTTCCAGGCACCTCTCTGGACTCCAAGCCCACAGCTACTTTCATCCTGCTGACCCCCACCTCTCCCACATCAGCAGTCACTGACACCACCTGGCCACCTTCAACCTCTCAGGCTGACAGTTCTGCCCTGTCCCCGGACCCACCTGCACCACCCAGCACCCAAAGCACTTTGCTTGGAATGGTGAGTACCCCAACTCCCCATCTCTCTGCATCTGTATTTTCTGATGCAAGTTCTGCTCATCTCATGTTAAAACCGATTTGGGGAACCCTGCACAGTAGCGACACTGGAAGCTCCTCATGTTCCAGAATTTCAGTCACAGCCACAGCATCTTCAAACTCTTCCCTCTCCGCAACTCAGGGAACCTTAACTCCTACCTTCAAGCCTATCTTTGGCAGCACAGATCCACTTAAAACTATGCCCATGACAGCTCCTTTCTCCTCCAAGCAGACGCCTCCTCCGTTTACTCCTGCTTCTACCCATCATTTCCACGGCATGGTTAAGGCTACCTCTGCGGTCATGTCCACCACCCTAGCCAGCACACCTAAAGACTCTGCTTTTAAGCTACCTTTGGATTTTGGTGTGGTGCATGTCACCAGTGCCATAGGCAACACTTATTCTGTCCCTTCCACTTGCCACACTTTCCTGCTTGGGAATGCCCAGGCTTTCAGGGCCAACTTCCCCCCAGCCACAGGCTTCATTTCCCCGCCACACGACCGTCCTGCCATTCCCACTGTCCACACAGTCACCATCTTTACTCAGGTCCTTTCCAGTGCTGTCCAGATATCTCCTAGAAGTAGTACTGCTCATTGCAGGGGGGTGGGCAGCCCTCTGTCGGCCTCAGCCCTAGTACCCACAAACTGGCCTGGATCTTCCCCCAGCATCTCTAACCTGAGCCCAACCATCACAGTTCCCTTGGGATCAAGCTCAAGGCCACCTTTCCCAGTATCCCAAGGAGCCAATCCCCAGCCTGCATTTGGTGCCACAGATGGACAGAAGCAAGGGCCTTCCCGGCCAGCCTTTACCCCAAGTGTCAGTAGCTCTTTTCTTTTTGGGAGCTCAGCAGTGGCACTGCCAATCCCAGTGCCAACTGCAGCTCAGCCAGCCTTCGTCAGTACCACTCAGTCAGCCTTGGGGGCTTTGACACCCTCAGCCTCTACCTCTCAAACCCCTGGCAGCATCTGGCCAAGCATTGGCAGCATGCCAGCAGGTTTTCCCATGAGTCAAGCTAGTACAACGGGGTTTAGAATTGTGACTCAGACCCACCAAAGTGGGACTTTTGGCTCAGTGTTTGGCAGCAGAGCCCCACGACCTTTTGCTTTTGGAGGATTCGTGACCCCTATGGACTGTGGTGAGTCTGGGATCAGAATGACTGGCCCGGACATGAGCTCTACCTCTGGAGCTTTCAGCATTGGAGCATTGCCTAGTGGGACCACTAGCACCATGACCCCCTTCAGAAAAGGCTGGAGCCAAAACACTCAAGGCCTGCCCAGCCACAGCACAGCTTTTGACTTGGGGAGAGCCAGCATCTCTGCAAGCAAGTCTATGGCCCCCATTGCTCAAAGCACCCCTGTCCCTGGACAAGCTAAGGCAGGCAGCAGTGTCGGTGGTGGGATGCCTTTTCCACCTGCCCAGGACTCTGTTGGGAGAGGACCTTTTAGATCATCAGCCCCTTCATTTTCCATTGGTACAAAATCAAAAACCTCCAAGAATCGGGAGCAAAGGCATTCCCGAAGGCATCACGCCTACAAGAAGTAGTCTGTGTTCCCTGTCACTTCACCCTGATGTGGACCTCAGCATGGTTTCTGAAAAACCCCAGTGTCTTCCAATTTTCTAAAGTAAACATACTCCAGATCTAAAGCTGGAGCTTTAGATGTCCACCCTGTGTGTCCTAATCTACAGCCCTGAAGAACGTGAAGGATCTAAAGCATCTAGTGGCGAGAGCAGAGTAAGGCCAGGTGGGACCAAACGCGCTGGACTCGAGCAGAACCTCACCTTCTCCTTCCCGTCCGCTTCTCTCTGTGTCAGGTGTGCAGTGTGTGCACGGCAGCAGCATGCATAATATCCAGACTTTGCAAACAAGTTGAATGTCTATCAATAAGCATGTTTCCATACATCCCACCATCCCCACTGTTGGCAAACACTGGCATGTTCTCTGTCACTCACTACAGGTTGTCTTTTAGAGAGTGTCACTTAAATGGAATCAAATAGTATGGAACCCTCGGAGATTGGCTTCCCTCATTCAGCATAACGCCACTGAGATTTATCCAAGTTGTTACATATGCCAATAATTTATTTCTTTTATTGCCGATTAAAAATCAATTTTAATTGTATTCAATTATATGAGTATTCCACAGTTTATTCATTCACCTGTAGAAGGACATTTAGCTTGTTTCTATTTTTTCTCAATAATAAAGTCAGCATAAACATTGATGTTCAGGTTTTTATGTGAACATATGTTTTCATTTCTCCAGGAAAATTTCTGGGAGTGGTATTATTGCTGGGTCATATGGTGTCTATTAACCTTATGAGAAACTGTCAAACTGTTGAGTTCATGACAATCCTATGAGGTAGGCACTGTCTCAGTTGTTATTTTACAGATGGGGACAGAACAAATGAAGAAGCCAAATAGCTTGTCTAAAGACACACAGCGAGAAAGTGACAAAGGCATGAGTTGTGTCTGGGGTGTTGGCAAGGATGCAGAGAAAACATTGTACATTGATGGGAGAAATCTAAGTTAGTAGAGTTGTTATGGAAAATGGTATTAAAGTTCCTCAAAAAACTAAAAACAGAATGGCCATATGATGCTCCTATCTCACTTCTCAATATATATTCAAAGAAATTGAAGTCAATGTGTTGAAGGGATATCTGCACTCCCATGTTTATCGCAGCATTATTCACAAGAGCCAAGACATGGCAACAGCCTAAGTGTCTATCAGTGACTGAATGGACAAAGAAACTGTGGCTTAGATACACAATGAAATATTATTCAGCCTTCAAAGTGACTGTAAATCAACAAAAATGAATTGCCTATTTCAAAATAAGAGAGTAAATTTCAAACATCCCACCATAAAAAATGATAGGTAAGTCAGCTCATCTGGGTATGAAAAAGAAAAAGATAGGCAAGGTAAGTACTAGATATGTTAACTAGCTTGATTTAATCATTCCATTCGGTATACATATATCAAAACATCACATTGTACCTCATAAATGTAGACAATTACGATTTGTCAATGAAAAATAATATTAAATTTTTAAAAGGAATTGTTTCCAGGTAGTGTGGCTCCAAAGACTGTGTTCCTCACCCCTCACCACGGGTCCTTCCTGGAGTGCAGGGTAGTGGTAAAACGATAGTACAGTCCAAGTCAAGGCTGACACATAGCTCACCCCACATAGGCAACTTTCTTGACCACGCTGTGCCTTTTGCACGATTATGATGATCATAGAAAACAGCTCATGGGAAAATTACGAATGTGAGGCCCTTTGACTAGTACCTGTACACAGTGAGAAAACAATACCTCTTAGCTGATGGTATATTCCACGGTCCTTTTTCTGGACACCTAACACCTATGATGTCTCTAACCTTCCCCAGTGTAGAAAGTGTGATATAAATATGGGTTATTTTCGGTCTACACCTGGAAGAAAGTCATTTTCCTTAGTCAATAATTTATAATCTAGGAATGGTCCAATTGTTTCAGCTCTCTTTTCTGGATCAATAGCAGATGCTTTGCTAGTTAGTCTAAAGAATATCAGAAATGAGTTTACAAAGGTAAAATTAATGATATATTAATGAGTGGACACTGAAAAGAGGTCATGATAAAAATGTTTGGTACACAAGATGCGGGCTGCCTATGCCAGCCATAGTCCAAAAAAATATAACACAAACCACAAAAGTGAGCCACGTACATCTAGAAGCTACATTAAAGAATTAAAAAAAAAAAAAGGGGGGCTGGGCATGGTGGCTGACTCCTGTAATCCCAGCACTTTGGGAAGCCAAGGCAGGTGAATCACAGGGTCAGGAGTTCAAGATAAGCCTGGACAACATGGTGAAACCCCGTCTCTACTAAAAACACAAAAATTAGCCAGGCATGGTGGCGTGTACCTATAAATCCCAGCTACTCGGGAGACTGAGACAGGAGAATCACTTGAACCAGGGAAGCAGAGGTTGCAGTGAGCCGAGATGGCGCCATTTCACTCCAGCCTGGGTGACAGAGCGAGACTACGTCTCTAAATAAATAAATAAAAATAAATAAATAATAAAAATGGGAGATATGTATTCTTTAAAATACCCAAAATATTATAATATTTAATTAATTTGAAAAAATTATCATTAAGATTTTCTTTTCACATAAAGTGTGCAAAATCTGTTGTGTATTTCATATTTATATCACAACTCAATTAAGTCCAGCCACATTGCCACATTTCTTTCCTTTTTTTTTTCTTCGTTAGGGACAGGGTTTCACTCTGTCACTCAGGCTAGAGTGCAGTGGTGTGATCTCAGCTCACTGCAGCCTCAACCTCCCACATTCAGGTGATTCTTCCACCTCTGCCTCCCAAGTATCTGGGATTACAGGCATGCTCCACCATGCCTAATTTTGTGTAAAAAAGGGGGTTTCAACATGTTCCCCAGGCTAAGTATACCCACATTTCATGTGCTCACTAGCCACTGTAGATAATGAGTACACAAACAGTGCAGGTCTAAAATGTTTGAGAGATGCTTCTTATCCTGCATCAACACAGCATAAGAATATAGGAAGACTTACAGCTTGCTCCCTTAGGGAGGGCACCCCAGGTTCAATCCCCAAAGATTCTGTGTTCAGCAATTCGATTAGAAGTCTTCTTATTGGCTGATACCCTAGCATAAAGAAACGGAATAACTCCCCTTGAATGTTGTTGTGTTTATTTCAAGTGAAACTTCCATGCAAGATATGACTGGATTCTCTAAAAGAGAGAATGCTGGAATTTAATAAAATTAAAGGGCTGGTTAAAGGATAGCTATAAATTGTTTGGTGCCTGTGTATGTGTGTCTATATGTCTACCTATCTGTGGGTTTGGGCGTGAGCATGTGTGCTGTATGTTTTGATTTCCCCACCAATAATTTTAACTGACTTCCCCACCATTGTCCCGGAAACAGCCTGACTCTCTTTACTCATTATCCAAGGACCTCAAGATATAATCTCTGCTCCACTCTTGGACTCTCACAGTTAGTACTGAACTTGCCTAACCACTCACAGCAATGCATGAAAGGAAGCCATAAAGAAAGACAGTAGAAGAGCAGGTGGTCTTCACCGAGCAGTTGCAGCCAGCCACAGAAGAGATTGGGAGAGCTCCTGGCCACACTCAGGAGGTATTTCTTTGCCTCTGAAGTCTAGATCTGTGCTCCAAATGTACATGTTTTCCTGAATATTGAATGGATCAACATTGTCCTTAAACAAGAAATATTTCTTAGTTTTCTGGAGCTCCATTTATTTTATGTTTTTCTTTTGGAATTAATACATTAATAGGAAACTTTAGTTTTGTTGTTGTTGCTTTTTGTTTTTGTTTTTTGAGATGGAGTCCTGCTCTTGTTGCCCAGGCTGGAGTGCGGCACAATCTTGGCTCACCACAACCTCTGCCTCCCGGGTTCAAGCGATTCTCCTGCCTCAGCCTTCTGAGTAGCTGGGATTGCAGGCATGAGTTACCACACCAGGCTAATTTTGTATTGTTAGTACAGACGGGGTTTCTCCATGTTTCAGTCTGGTCTCGAACTCTCAAACTCAGGTGATCTGCCCGCCTCAGCCTCCCAAAGTCCTGGAATTACAGGCATGAACCACCACACCCGGCCAAAAAGGAAACTTTCTCCTTTAAGCTGGCATTAATCATTTTCTTTTCTCATCTGTTCTTGTAATACCTTCCCTTATCACTCATTTCAAAGAGAGATGACAAATTTAACATTAATTTCCAATGGATTCAAGTTCTGTCTTCCAGTGAATAGAATACACACCTATCTTTGATATGTTATGGTTTTATAATTTTTGTACACGCAAAGGAAAATCATTTTTTACTTCTGCCTAGTAACTATGCAGTCGTCCTTTGGCATCCATGAAAGATTGGTTTCAGGACCTCCTGTGGATAGCAAAATCTACCAGTGCTCAAGTTTCTGATATAAAATAACTGACTATTTGCATATAGCATATGTACATCATCTTGCAGTATACTAGTATACTTTAAACCACTTCTAGATTATTTATCATACCTTTTATCAGGGGTCCCCAATCCCTGGGGTACTAGTCCCATCCGTGGAAAAATTGTCTTCTACTAAACCAGTTTCTAGTGCCAAAATGGTTGGGGACCGCTGTCTTACATGATGCAAATGCAATGTAAGTAGTTGTTATGTTGCAATGTTTAGGGAATAATGACAAGAAAATTTCTGTATGTGCTCAGTATAGACACAGGGTTTCTTCCAGTATTTTAGATCTGCAGTAGGTTGAATCCATGTGTGCAGAACCCATGGTTACAAAGGGCCAGAGGCTTTGCATTTTTACTTAGGCTAGACTTTCCTGCTCACTGTCACTCCTTTATATGCTTCCACACGTGATTTGTAAACTTTAGGTAGTTAATGAGAATGTTTTGTGAATTCTTCTCTAAAGCAATATATGTTAATCATGAAGACACCATTTTTATCCCTACACACATAAACTAGAGTTATGTGGACTTTACACACAAAAAAAAACAAAAGCAAGTAAATCTGAAATGGTAAGGGCAGAAATCGAATGTATTTTTCTTTAAGTTTATGTAATGTTTTAAGTTTACATTAAGGATTTCATAGTCAAAATCGGGGAGGGGAGTCTTACTAAGATATTTGCAATTTTTGTTGTTGAGGAAATGCGGATTTTTTAAGACTACAGACGTGCACTACCATGCCCGGATAATTTTTGTATTTTTGGTAGACACAGGGCTTTGCTGTGTTGGTCTCAAACTTGTGGACTCAAGCTATCCACCCGCCTTGGTCCCTTAAAATGCTAGGATTATAGAAATAAACCCCCACGCCCGGTCCTGAGGAAAAAAAGTAAAGCTCTCTTTAGTGAGTCGTTACATATGGCTAAAAAATTTATATAAATTCTTCTAAACAATGAGCACCCTCATTAATGAGAACTTAGGCACAAAAAATGAATTGGATAAACAGAAACAAGATGATGAAGGGAACATGCTTTGTTCCTTTAATCTTGCTGCTTTGAAGACGTTCTTATCTGGAGAACCCCTAGGCCAACGATCTTCAATTTATCTTTACCCACTGACCCCCAAAAGCATTTTGAACAGGTGTCCAATCAAAGGAGATTAGTTTATACCTACGAGTGTGTATACATTGGAATACTGTGAAGCAGGGTGAATAGAGACGACATCTATTAACTGATACGGAGCAATTTCTGGAAGACATTGTTTCTGTTTGTTTA